GGCATCTCTTCCATCAGCATCCCCAAACTGCTGGACAACCTCTGGGCCAAGAGTAAAACAATCTCACTGGGTGGGTGCATGGCCCAAGTCTTCTTCTTCCACTTCGTCATGGCCTTTGACCGGTACGTGGCCATCTGCCCCCCGCTGCGCTACCTGCTCATCATGAACCGCCGGGTGTGCGCCCTCCTGGCCGCCAGCAGTTGGATCGCCAGCTCCTTCCACGCCACCATCGTCACCAGCCTGACCTTCACGCTGCCCTACTGCGGGTCCAACGTGGTGGACTATTTCTTCTGCGACATCTTCCCAGTAGCCAAGCTGGCCTGTGCGGACACGTCCATCTTGGAGATGGTGACCTTCACCAACATTGGGGTGGTGCCCATGAGCTGCTTCGCCCTCATCCTCGCCTCCTATGTCAGGATTGTCTCTTGTATCCTGAAAATGAACTCAGGTGAAGGGCGGCGCAAAGCGACCTCCACTTGCGCCTCCCATCTGGTGGTGGTGACCATGTTCTTCGGGCCCTGCGCTTTGATCTACACTCAGCCACAGCTGAGCAAAGTGCTGGTGACCCCTGTGAACATTTTTGGCAACTTGATCACGCCCATGGTGAACCCGGCCATCTACACGCTGCGCAACAAGGAGGTGAAAGCGGCTCTGAGAAAACTGCGATGTGCAGCAGTTGCAGGAGTATCATGTGAGTCTGTTTGGAAACTCACCTACAAGTACACGGCATGGGCCCTCGGCGGCTTTTGTGGTGCATCAGAATTTATGGGAATCAGAGACTCAGACCTTGGTCTTGTAGATAATCTCTGCCTTATAAGACAGGTCTACAGGGCTCTAACTCTTTATGTCCATCATTATAAGGCAGGATTTCCACTGCAAGATTTCTCATGGCTGCTGTGCGAATCCACTCCAAGCAATCAGCCCTTGGCTTGAGATGTGTACACCAGACTTGGGCAGAGTATTCAACCAGTGCTCGCAGCAGTGCCAAACAGCAAAGTGAAACCCCCTCTCTGCTTGTCAAAAAACTTCCTTTGTGAGTTCTGTGGCCACATTAGCTGTTCTGGCGACAGCGTCCCACTGGGAGCTCACGTTCAGCGAATTCTCCACCACAACCACGAGATCCCTTTCATTGTGCCCAGTCATAGAATCCTAGGGCTGGAAGAGACTTTGGGAGGTCATCGAGTCCTGCGAGCCTCCCACCCCAGCCCTTTCAGGGAAGCCTGGAGGACCCAGGTCATGGGGTAGCTACTGAAGGTGAAGCCGGAGGCTTTGCAGGAAAGGCGCAAAGAGTCTCTGGACTCCCGGAGGCTTTGCAGGAGAGGCGCAGAGAGTCTCCGGGCTTCTTCACATCCCCTCCGGACTCCATCAGCTGCACCCGGGATTGAGTTAAAAAAAACAGAACAAACCCCAGCCATAATTGTCTGCTCTACTGGCTGTGCCATTTTTTCAGGGACTCAAAATACCTCCCAAAACCGCTACAATGAAACCCGCTGTGACCCAAAGTCTCATTGCCCCTGGTGATGGCGTGGAAATTTCTCCAGGGACTGGGTCACTGCAGAGACCCAGGGGGCTGCGGATTCTCTGCGGGTCCAGTCTGGGCACAGGGAGGGACAGGTTTTAACAGGAAACTCTCACCCTGATTTGCATCGCCGGCTGCTTGTAACAGACCCCAGCGCCTACACCTCAGCCTGCAAATTTCTGGCTCGGACAGGGCGGAGTCAGATCCTTCAGTGCAGCGCCCAGAGTTGGGGCGCAGGATTAAAGGGGCGAGAAGCAGCTGTCGGGGTTTGAACCACAGAACTCTGTCCCCACTGGTACCTTGTCCCCTGCTGAAGCACCCCCTAGCGCCCTTCCCCAGTACCATGTCCCCTGCTCCCACCAACAAGGTTGGGGCCACATTAGTGAAGCTTAGGGGGTGGGGTTGGAGGAGGGTTTTTTTGGCATCTCACTTGTGTGGCCCCAAATGTCTTTTCTGTGGGTCAGTAACCCCTGACTCAAAACAGGTTCCCTGCGCTTCTCAGAAATAAAGACAATGCAAAAACTTTTTGTGTTTGACATAGTATTTTATTTAAAAATGAAGCCTGGCTGACAAACCCCCAATGGGGGCCAAGCCCCCATCTGGCCACAGCATCATAACACTCCTGCTCTCCCCTTTCCCCCAGAACCTACATCTGAGCCTGTCATACACTGGAACCCCCTTCCCTGAGCCCCTCACATACCCCAACCCAAATTCCTGAACCCTCACATCCTAAAGCCCAGTGTGTGTAGCTTTGTATAGCGTGGGGCGCAGTTGTTTATTAGCTCAGACATTTAGTCTCATTGGCCCTTATGGGGGAGGGGTTCTGCCCGTTCCTTACATGACCTGTGCAATACTCAGAGAAAACGGCAGCACTTGGGTGCCTGGTGGAGCTGGGTGGGGGGCGGGAAGGCAGGAAATGACTCTGCCCTGTAGCTGGGGATTCAAAGGGGCTGTGACTTTTTGTATGTGCGGTGTTTTGGGTTTTTTTTCCCTCAACAAAAAATCCTAGCTGCCAGGGCCCCATCAAAACTGTTCAAATTGGGCCCCTGCACTTTCTAAAGCTGGCCCTGTCCCAGGTTTCCCCCTCCCCTCTCCCACCCTCTCTCCTTTCCTGCCCTCTTCCCCCAGTCTCACCAGATTTCACCTCCCCCCCAGTTTTGTTAAATAAAGAGAGTTTATGTTCATGAAAAGATGTGTACTTTATTTGACATCAGGAGGGGGATGGGAGAGTAAGTGGAAGGATGTGAGGGAGGAATGAGGCACAAGCACTCAGTGGGGCAGATCAGGGAGGCTCCTCAGGGTGGAAGCTCTCCTGCAGGGCTTTCTGGATACTGACAGACTCCCAATGGACCTCCCAGATGGCAGCCTGCAGAAAGTGCAGCCAGGCTCACAGCAGCAAGTCCATGAGTAGCATCAGAGTGCCCAGGGGCAGTTCTGGCTCCATGTTGCAGACTGTGGTGTCCTGAGTGAGGGCAACCAGAGCACGAAGAGACAAAATGCTTTGCTGTCCCTCACTGAGATAGGCAAGCAAGCAGGGAAGCCTGAGAATCGCCTGTCCGGGGAGGGGGGTCCCTTTAAGCACAGGCCTCAGATAGCCTCAGGCGGCAGCCACACAAAGTAAGTCCTGACCTGATGCCCTGCTGGACCTGGCTCTGGCTGGCCTTAAATGCAATTCAGCATCCACTCAGTGCGGACGTGCTATTTCGAAATGCATTTTGTGTGTAGATGTGTTAATTTGAAATAACTTATTTCAAATTAACTATTTTGAAATAAGATATTTTGAAATAACACTGTAGTTCAGGCGGCAGCCACACAAAGTAAGTCCTGACCTGATGCCCTGCTGGACCTGGCTCTGGCTGGCCTTAAATGCAATTCAGCATCCACTCAGTGCGGACGTGCTATTTCGAAATGCATTTTGTGTGTAGATGTGTTAATTTGAAATAACTTATTTCAAATTAACTATTTTGAAATAAGATATTTTGAAATAACACTGTAGTAAACATACCCTAAGGCAGTGTTTCTCAAACTGTGAGTCGCGGAGCCCCAGGGGCTCCACGAGACTTTTCCACTGGAAACATCGATAGGTACAACACATACAATCAGTGGACCGCTGGGGCTCTGCATACATTTTTACGCATGTAAAGGGCTCTGGAGCCCAAAAAGTTTGAGAACCGCTGCTCTAAGGCTACGTCTACACTGCAGACTTCTTGCGCAAGAACTGTTTTACGCAAGAGTTCTTGGGCAAAAAGTCTTCCACAAGAGTACGTCCACACTGCCATGTGCTTTTGTGGAAGAGATGTGCTTTTGCGCAAGAGCGTTCATGGTAGTGTGGATGTTCTTTTGCCCATCGGGGGGGGGCAGGGGATTGAGGAGCGCCGCAGAGTCTAGTGAAGGGGGGGCAGGACGGGGGTGCTGGGCTGGGTGGGAGTGGAGCACGTGCTGCTCTAGCCCTGACCAGCAGAGACTGACAGCTGGCCACATGATGCTTCCCCTACAAGCTGCGAGATGAGGCAGTTGGTCTGGGGAGCAGGAGCAGCCCCTTTTAAAAGTAAGATTCTTCCTCGCGCCTGGCTCTGCAGGAGGGAGATTTGATTGGAGCGGGGCTCCT